TCCAGCGATTTAAGGCTTGGGGAGTGTCTAAACTTTGTATTTCATGACTGCCAGTGGATTTTGTTCTTTGAGGAAGGTGTTCAGTTGCACCATCTGCAGTGTCTTGTGGTAAGGAGCTCCACAGCTGGACCACACAGGTGTGAAAGCTGCTCCCTGTTGTTTTTTGAGCCTAGCAAATAGCATGTTCTGTCTAACCTTACTCTTGCATTGGAAATCAGTGAACAGTGTTCCTTATTCACCATCTCCTCTGTGATTCATGATTGTGTATCACCCTGGCAGACCTGCGCTGATTTACATCAGGTGGGAATCTGTCCCCATAGTCCCTGTCACAGTGGGTACAACCCTGGGAAGGTAAGACACATTCAGTGAACAGACGTCTTTCACCTTGGTGCAGGCAGAGGAGAGGAAGCTGTGGCATACAAAGGCTGACTGGAAGGAGAGGGATGCAGGAGGGAAATAAAGCAAGAGCAAAGAAGGGCTGGACCATGCCTGTGAAGTCGCGAAGAGTGTTCCAGGTGTCAGGGAAAGCACACAAATTTACTTGGAGGAGATATGAACAGCAGTGAAGGTGAGGACAAGAAAATGGCACTCAAAGATGAGGTGCTTATAGACTTTGTTCCTCTCTGGAAAACCAGCTGACAGTAGCAGGTGAAGTACATGGTTTTGTTTCTTTGACAATGATCACATCTCAATAGGTAATTACATATAATAGAAGCTCACAGCATCATGTCATCTGTTATTTACAGACAGGTTGGTGACCAGACAGCAGGGTGCCTTTGATTACATTAATCTAGTACAAACGTGCTCTGTTGCAGGGTACAACTTTTGTGAGACAAGCAGCAAAGCACAGCACCTGACTCTCCCTGGGGCAGAACTGCCTCGCTGTGTCTCATTCCCAGGGCAGCAGTTAAAGCTTTCTAAACCAAAATCCTTCTGCCTCTTTTAGAGCAGCAAGGAGAACATCCTGAAGGGGATGGGTGGGATGGTTCCATCAACTGTAATGAGTCTATTCTGGCTGAATGTCTATTCATTTTCTCTGAAAAGAATGCTGTGGCTATGGTCTCCTGCAGTTAGTAGAGCAATACTTTGTCCTCCTTTTGTGGGCATAACTTTATGAAACTCAGCACAATCTCCTTACCCCACATTTCTCTTGTACTGAACAGCAGAGACAAACCAGTTTAGTACTGTTCTTTACACAACCCTGATGCACTGCTTAGGGGGTTTAGTGGCTTATAGAAGTGTGTACAGCCAGTGCATGTCCTAGGAAAGTACAACAAGCATGAAATGGAGAGGTAAATTTTCAAAGTGGTGCAGCTGTTCTGTGATGGTAAATGCTTGTGTTCCCATATGTTCCAAAAGAGCTTCAGAAATCCATGCTGGCAGGAAGATTTGAGTCCACTGGTGCTCGTGGGTTTTCACATCTTGTGGTCAGCTGCTTCAGACCCAGAGAAGCTACATTCAGTATTGACCTTTTTTGACATTTTTTTTCTCCCTTACAGTAAGCTAGGTGAACTGATGGTTTAAGTCTTGTAGTATTGCTTCACACAAGCATAGCAACAGATTGGGTTGTTATATCCCATTTAAGGGATATACTGGAGCTTTTAGTGAAAATATCCAGGCAATACTCAGTGGAGAAAGGCTGTGTACATGAGATGATATTGAGAAGGGGAAAGGACTTCACTTTCTGCAGGGTCCTATTCTGACCCTTGTTTGCTTGTTATAAGGCTCATGGCTCTGAATAAGGAAGGGTCTTTGGGTGTTAGGAACAGAGGGATGTGTTCAGCTCATTGCTTTCTTCCCTTGACTTTCTCTTTTGTGGCATTATGTAGAGAGGCATCTTCATATATTGCATTAGAAATTAACACTTCCAGCTCACTTAAGTGTTATTCCTGGTACACTCGCTTGCCATTTAAAATAAGGTTGGCTCAAGTTGGTCATAAATCCTTTACATATTTGGGTGATGAGTATTTGAAATTGTACAGATCAAACTGAATGGTGTCTTGAGGCCCTCAGTGACAAAAATAATCCCAGAATGGGAGCAACTGGAAATTATATCTAACAAGTACAGATGAAGTGAATGCATCACAATAAGCATTCTTCAAAGCAAGCTAATGTCAGGTAGATGAAAGCCAAATATATTGAGTTCAGTGGCCTCTTTCCTTGTGACTTAGTGCTTATTCATTCTACTCTCCATCAGCCATAACTCATTCCTGTTGGCTTCCAGGCATTTTGCATAGATAAGTCCCCTCACAGCTGGAACTACAGGACACTTAAAGTGACTCAACTGGTGGGCAGTGGTAACACCAGAAACTTTGATGTGTCCTTCATCCAATGGTGTCCTTATGATGGAGCCTAAGTAGAAAATGAAGTGTACACAGAGTTTACAGAACTCCTTACGTTGTCTACAAAAGAGTTGGAAGAGAAGACATGAACAGTAGTAAGTGTTGTACTCTGCTGTTGTTAGTGCCTGATACTGGATAGAGGCTGATTTGCTTTTAAGATGCTCAGACCAGATCCAGATAGGAATTATATCTCGAGCTTTTAAATTTTTAATTGGAAAATGAAATTGAAAAATTTAACACTGTTGAAAATGAAGTCATTGTAGGG